AAGGAAGGAAGCAAGAAAGGAAGGAAGGATAGAAGGAAGGAAGGATGGAAGGAAGGAAGGAAGGAGAGAAGGTAGGAAGAATGGAAAGAAAAGGATGGATGTAAAGAAGGATTGAAAAGAAAGATGGAAGGAAAGATGAAAGGAAGGAAGGATGGTTGGAAGGAAAGAAGAAAGTGAAGAAGGAAGGAAGGAAGGAAGGTAGGAAGGAAGGAAGAATGGATAGATGGCAGGAAGAAAGGATGGAGAAAGGAAGGAAGGAAGCAAGGAAGGAAGGATGGAAGAAAAAAGGGAATGATGGATGAATGGAAAGAAGGAATGATGGATGGAAGGAAGGAAGGATGGAAGGAGGGAAAAAAGGAAGGAAGGATGGAAGGAGGGAAAAAAGGAAGGAAGGATGGAAGGAGGGAAAAAAGGAAGGAAGGAAAGAAGGAAAAAGGAGAAAGAAAGAAAGAGAAAGAAAGAAAGAAAGAAAGAAAGAAAGAAAGAAAGAAAGAAAGAAAGAAAGAAAGAAAGAAAGAAAGAAAGAAGAAAGAAAGAGGAGTGATGGATGGAAGGAAGAAAGGAAGGAAGGAAGGAAGGAAGGAAGGAAGGAAGGAAGGAAGGATGGAAGGAAGGATGGATAGATGGCAGGCAGGAAGGAAGAAACAAAGCAAGAAAGAAAGGGAGGAAAGAAAGAAGGAAGAAATGAAGGAAGAAAGGGAGAAAGAAAGTAAGAAAAGAAAGAAGGATTCAAGGAAGGAAGGATGGATGGATAGAAGAAAGGAAGGATGAAAGAAAGAAAGGAAGAATGGATGGAAGGAAGGAAAGGAGGAATGAAGGAAGGAAGGAACAAAGGAAGGATGAACAGAAGGAAGGATGAAAGGAAGGAAGGAAGGATGGATTGATGGAAGGAGGGAAGGATGGATTGATGGAAGGAAGGATGGATTGATGGAAGGAATCAAGGAAGGACAGATGGATGGATGCATGAAAGGTAGGAAGGAAAGAAGGAAGAAACAAAGCAAGAAGGAAAGAAAGGAGAGAAGTTAGGAAGGAAGAAATGAAGGTAGGAAGAAAGGGAGAAAGGAAGGGATGATGGATGGTAGGAAGGAAAAGAAAGAAAGGATGGAAGGAAGGAAAGATGGATGGATGAAAGGATGGAAGGAAGGAGAGAAGGGAGGAAGGAAAGAATATAGGAAGGAAGAAAGGAAAGAAGGAAAGAAGGACGAAGAGAATGTAGGAAGGAAGGATGGAAGAAAGGCAGGAACATGGCCTGGGTTCATTACTCCTGTAAGACCACTGATGACCGTTTACCTGTTCACGAGCAAATAAAAGCATTAAATAAAGTGATGGGCTGCTCCCCCCCCCCCAATAAATCCATAGTTAAGACCAAATTTTATGTGGGAGTCAAGTTCTGCAGGAACCTCTGCTTAGTTCCTGTGAGAAGGAACTTATTCCAGCACGTGGGGATGTGTGCAAGGATGCGCACAGGAACACACCGAATGGACTTCATACCTGAGGTACCACGGGACAAGTGAAATCATCCCATAACCCCATGTAGAGAACACATTCAGTAAACCATTGTGTCCTTACAGTGGACTATTACACAGAAATTCAACCTTATGCTGAAAAATAATTGGTGGGGGGAGGTAAGTTCCCAATGTTAAGTAAAAAGCAGGTTTCAAAAATATGTGGCTCAGTGGTTGAGCATGGACCTAGGAACCAGAAGGTCACGGTTTGATTCCTGCTCAGGACACATGCCTGGGTTGTGGGCTCCATCCCCAGTGTGGGGCATGCAGGTGGCAGCCGATCCATGATTCTCTGTCATCATTGATGTTTCTCTCTCTCCTTCTCCCTTCCTCCCTGAAAACCATCCTAATAAAAGAGTAATATGCAAATTAAACATCACTCCAACACAAAGATGGTGATGCCCATAGCCACAAGATGGGGGCACCCTGTCCTCTCAGCCCCGCTGGAGTCCTCTAGTCCTGGGCGTGGCCGCTGAGAGCAGGGCCTGCTTGGACGTTGCCACGACGAATCGGGAGCGGACAAGCAGCCCCACAGACCGTGCACAGTAGGGCCCTTTTGGCAGTTTCCTGCTGAGACCTGGGATTGGCCAAGCAGGCCCCTCAGATCGCGCACAGTAGGGCCCGCTTGGCCGTCGTCTGCAGCGACCCGGGAGTGGCCAAACAGGCCCCGCAGACAGCAGAGAACCACAAAAGAGCCGCATGTAGCTCGCGAGCCACAGTTTGCCAATCACGGGTATAGAGCATTGGCCTGGATACTGAAGTGTCCTGGTTTCTATTCTGGTCAAGGGCACATGCCCTACAGTAGGACATCCCCTGAGGGCTCCCGCATTGGAGAGGGTGCAGGTTGAGCTGAGGGACCCACCCCCACCCCTGTGCATGAATTTTGTGCACCGGGCCTCTAGTAAAAATATATTTTAAAAAAAGAGTTGAAGTCTTTCTACAACAGAAATGTCCTTTTTGAGGTCTTAGACCAGATAGTCACTGTAATTCATCAGAGTCTTAAGTAGAAAGCCTGGAGGAAGGGCCACCATGATGGGGAGAAAGTGTGCCGTGATGGGAGCCAGGGCCAGGCCACGGGGCGGCCTCGCTGAACGGTCCTCGGCCCAGGACGGTGGGGGGAAGCTGACCTGGGTCCTGTGGAGCACCTCTGTTCTGTTTCACTTGCAGAGCTCCCCTCCCCTCCCCCTCTCCTCTACCTTAAATGTGGCCGGCACCCGACTGCCTCCAGTTGCACATTTACTGTCTCCATGGGACACATGACCCGGGGATGGAGGTGGGCAGGGAGGAGAAGGAAGGGCCCACGGGGGATGGCAAACAGGGAGAACGAGGAAGAGAAAGGGCAAAGCCACTCCTGAGCAGGAAACACAGCTCGCGGGGCGGGGTGGGAGATGTGACCGCCCCTGCTGGTGTCCGGGAGTGCACGCTGTGACCCAGGCTCTGCCTCTGCTCGGCCTCCCTCTGCCAGTGCTGTCACCAGGGACTCCTCCCTGCCTGGTGCCCCCAGCAAAGGGCCTGGCACTGTCCCACGCTGGCACCAAGCCAAAGGCCACAGGGCAGCCTCTGGCTCCTGGGCACCTTGGAGGATTCCCAGGGAGGAGAAGGAGGAGAGAAATGCCACCGCCCTCAGGCGCCCTCGCGGTGCTGCACCCGCGGGAAATGCGCAGGACACGTTCTCTTGCCTTATTCCTGTGAAAAAATAATAAAGTGAGTCCCTTAAACAGTCATTCCAAAGAGCCCTTGACAGGGGCTTGGAACTCCTTTACCCGCTGTCCCAGAGGAGACCCCGCCCGGTGGCCGCCTCACCTTCTGTGTCTGAACCTCATGACCTGTCTGCTTGCTCTCTGTTGACAGTGAAGGCCAAGAGGGGTCAAGAGACCTCTTTCCTCAGCCCCAGCGATTCCGTCATTCCCCCGAGTGACCAGCAGGAGGCAGGGGCACCGCCCTCCGCAGGGTATCAGGTTCCAGTATCAGGGTCCTCATCAGAAGCATGTCTCCCAAGAGCTTCTTTTTTCAAATAACCAGAGGATTGACTCACTTAAATAACACACATCCTCTTTCAAACCGGGCTCAGTGGATAGAGCGTCGCCCCACGGACTGAAGGGTCCCGGGTTTGATTCTGGTCAAGGGCATGTACCTTGGTTGCGGGCTCCATCCCCAGTAGGGAGCATGCAGGAGGCAGCTGATCAGTGTTTCTCTCTCATAGATGTTTCTAACTCTCTATCCCTCTCCCTTCCTCTCTATAAAATCAATGAATATGTACTTTTGTAAAAAATGAGACCGACCACAGATGTTTCCCTAGGAGCCATTTCCCAGCCATCCCAGACCTGCATGGAGAATGGGTCAGACTCGGCCCAAGGCCAGCCCTGAACATCCCAGGGGAGGCAGAGGCTCCTTTCAAGCCCCTGGGAAGGGAGTCAGGGTCTCTAACTCAATGCAGAGGCTGTGACTTCCTCCCAGTTCTAAGGACGATGTGCAAATCATGGCAGGCAGTGAAGGGAACATTTCCTAAAGAAGGCTTCCACCACTTTACACTTGCTCTGTCAGAGGGAAGAGGGAAGAATCCATGGCCCACAGATCGGATTCAAAGCCCAGAGGCAAAGGTTCCATTGAACATTCTAGGGTCCACAGGCAATGACTTTGGACACATATTTACATTGCTGATAGACTCAAGTCTCTGTGCTCTCAGAGACTTAAATATTCTTTGAGAAGAAGCTCATTTCAGCCTAGCCGGGTGGCTCAGTGGTTGAGCGTGGACCTAGGAACCAGGCGATCACGGTTTGATTCCTGACTGGGGGCTTGATCCCAGCGTGGATGTGTAAGAATCAGCCAATCAATGATTGTCTCTCAACATCGATGGGTCTATCTCTCCCTCTCCCTTCTACTCTGAAATCAATGAAAAAAAATTTTTTTAAAAGAGAATTCCTCCCTCTTAAAAAAATAATTAAGACTTAAGAGGCAGAGTGAACATCCAATGCAATAACGAATAAATAAATAAAAGTGTAGAATTATTTTTGAAGCATTTAAAAATTTTGGTATTTGATGTTCATAAGAAATAGTTGTTAACTTTAAAGGTATACTATGATTAGGCAAGGAAATGTCCTTTTTTTAGAGAATAATTTTGAAGTGCATAGGGCTGAAGGAACATGAAGTCTGGGGTTTGCATTTAACTTCTTTGGAGAAAGAAAAATAGATGAAATGAAGGGAAGGAAGGAGAGAGAAAGCGAATATGGAAACCGCGGTAACTGTTGAGTCTGATAGTGGAAGGGGGATTCCTTCCGCTGTTCTGCTCTTGCACATGTGGGGACCTGCATGTGGTGGAGAGGTCTTAGGGCCATGCCGTGGAAGGTCAGGCCGGTTGTTTTTAGTGGGCGTTTGAGAGGGAGCCGTGAGAATCCCAGCAACTCTCGTTTCCACACAGTAGGTGTCTAGCATTGATTACTTACCCAATAATAATTAAAATCCAGATTCAGTAAGACAGCTGGACAGTGGGGGTTTTTTTGGAATTTTTTTTAATGAAAGTTCCTTAACCAATCAATGAGCCCAATTTGGACATAGAAGCAAAAGGCCACTTTCTGCTCAGAATGAACTTTGCCTTGGAACTATTTCATAGAGCATCCTGATAACACTTCACCCCCATAAGCGGGTCTCATGGATTTGCACAGCTATGCAACCGGGAATTTCACACTTGTGAGACTTCGGGGTACACGTGGATGTTGGGGGGCAGCTGGAAAGAGATGGTAAGCAGCCCACTCAACAGCATGAGGAAGGCAGCCAGAACCGCCACGGGCACGGTGCTGCCCATCTCCTGCCGGTCCGGCCTGAAGGGAATCTGGAAGGATGGTGGGAAGTGTATGCCCTCTTCATTCATCACGGAGTGGTGGTTCCAGATCACAGCAGTGAAGATAAATGCACCCGCTACGACGCTCAGGACTCCGGAAGCGAAGAACAGATTGCAGGTGGTGTCCTTCTGAAGCTGTCCCGCGTACACTCTCCGCAGGCCCATGACCATGAGCACTTTCCCCAGGACCCCGAGGAGGCTGGCGGCCAGCAGCAGGTTCTGAGCGATGCGGATATCGAGCGGCAGGTAGGTGTCACTGTAGGTGTAGCGGTGACACTCTATGTTTCTGCTGTGGAGGCTGTTGGGCTGGTAAGTGCAGACCTTCCACATCCCAATGCAGGCCAGCCCCCGGGAGGGGGCGGAGCTGCTCTCCATGTGCCACACCCGCCACTCGGCCAGGCCCATGCAGGTCATGGATAAGATCCATCCCAGAGTGTTGAGGGAGAAACTCGCTGCCTGGCAATTGGCGTTTTTAAACATGGCCATGGCCGTGTATCCAGGGGATCTGCAAACCAATAGAGGGCGTCATGAGGTGGGACCCACGGCCTGGAACCGCCCCCTGAGCGTGAGCGGCACTATATTGGAGAGGGAGATGCCATATTCCAGAATGGAGACACTTGACCCCTATGCTCAGCTGGCAAAGGGTCCTTGGGCAACATTTACTGAAAGCCTTCAAATATACAGACTTTCACCCTGGCAGGGTTCGCTAAGTGGTTAGACTCTCATCTGTATTTAAAGGGCCAGTGGTTCTCAACCTTCTGGCCCTTTAAATACAGTTCCTCATGTTGTGACCCAACCATAAAATTATTGTCGTTGCTACTTCATAACTGTTATGTTGCTACTGTTATGAATCGTAATGAAAATATCTGATCTGCAGGATGGTCTTAGGCGACCCCTGTGAAAGGGTCGTTCGACCGCCAAAGGGGTCGCGACCCACAGGTTGAGAACCACTGGGTTAGAGCGTCTTCCCAATAGGCCAAGGTTGCCGGCCTCAATCCCTGCTCAGGGCACATACAAGAATCAACCAATGAATGCATCAGTCAGTGGAACAGCAAATCGATGTTTCTCTCTCCCTCTCTCTGTCTAAAGTCAATCAAAATATGTACAAACTTTCAAACAGGCAGTTCCACTTCTGGACATTTGTTGAAAGATACAATTAAGATGGGCTATAGCCCAGGTCAGGGTTCGATTCCTAGTCAGGGCACATACCCGGGTTGTGGGGTTGATCCCCAGTGTGAGGCGTGCAGGAGGCAACAGATCCATGATTCTCTCTCATCATTGAGGTTTCTATCTCTCTCCCCCCCCTCCCTTCCTCTCTGAAATCAATAAAAATATATATCTTTGCATGCTCCCAAGATTCAGCAATGCCACCTCTGGATTAATACCCCGACCAAGGGTAAAGGAGGGACGCTAGCAGATAGTTGCATCCCCATGTTCATAGCAGTGTTATTCACCACAGCCAAGAGGTGGAAACACCCCAATGTTCATCGTGGGTGTGTGCACAGTCAGCATGTGGGCCGCCCATACCATGGGATAGCATCCATCCTTGAAGACATTCTACCGAGTGAAACGAGCCAGCTACACAGACAAACATGCACCATTTCACCTCTATGTGGTCCCTAGAGCAGCCACACTCAGCAAAAGAAAGCAACCGTGGGTGCCAGGGGCTGGGGAGCAGTGAGGATGTAGTGGTCAATGGCACAGTTTCCCTTTGTGGAGGTGAAAAAGTTCTGGAGATGATGATGGTGATGGTAGCACAACATTGTGAAGGTGCCTAGTGACACTGCACTGTACGCTTAAAAAAGGTGACTGTTCAGTCTGATCAAATCATTGGATTGATACCTGTCCCCTGGGATCTGCCCTTTAGGACACTTCACAACAGGCCTTCCCTCCCGCTTAGACCACATCCCACGTGTAAGACCACATCCCACTGGTAAGACCACATCCACTGGTAAGACCATTATCTTTCTCATCTGGACCTTCCCAGGACACGGACCCTTTAAACCCTCTGATTGCCCGTCACTGGGGCTGGTGCCATTTGGGGCTCAGCCCATGTGGTCTCCAGGTGACCCAACACATTCATGATCCCTCACCCCTTTTGGCCTTGTGTGTTCCTCATTGGGCAATCCTGACAGTGACATGATAATTGTTTAGTTATACCCACTTTACCCCCGCAAATTAATACAAACAGGCTGGGCCCCACTGACCAGGGATGTGTCTCCAAGGGAGTGAGTGTCTAGGAACGGCGACTAACAGGTCAGGCAGCGCTGCTGACACACACACGGCTCCTCTGGGCGTCCTCCGGCTCCACTGGGCGTCCTCCAGCCGGCTCCTGGCTATGCGGGACCGGCCACAGGGGCCTCAGCCACACGAGGGCCTGGCACACGACTCTAAGCCCTCTCCTCAGCCTCCAGTTCACGGCCACATTCCACCCCCATTGTCCTGACCAGCAGGGTTCTGTTGCCGGGTGCGGAACACATGGCAGCATCCAATCTTCACTGACCACCAGGCTTTCTCTGTTTCTCATCAGGCACCCTCCCTACCTGCTTCCTGGGTGGGTTGGGCTCAGACCATGGAGTCCTCAAGGTTTACTTGACAGCAGCCGGGTGTCCTAACCCCTCCCTCTCCTGTCCTCCAGAAATGGTCTCCCACACCACCCGGAAGAAATGACCGTGCAAACAGCAATGACACTGGATAGCGTGGCTCAGTGCATAGAGCGTTGGCCTGCGGACCGAAGTGTCCCGGGTTCGATTCCTGTCAAGGGCACATACTTGGTTGTAGGCTCCTCCCCAGCCCAGTCCCTGGTCGCGGCTCATGCAGGAGGCAACCAATTGATGTGTTTCTCTCACATCGATGTTTCTCTCTGTCTTTCCCTCTCTCTTCCACTCTCTCTAAAATCAATGGAATAGTATCCTCGGGTGAGGATTCAAATAAATAAACAAACAGCAATGAGAATACATCCGAGCAGGCGTCAGCAGCAGTGGCCCCGCACGGGCGAGGTTGCTATGAAAGCCCAATGATAGCCAGCACATTAGGAAAGACCCTGGAGCTGCGGGCAATGACCTTCCCGCTGCACCTTGGGTGACAGCATCGTGAACGTGGCGTCCATGAGCGAGATCCAGTGGAAGGTGAAGGTCACTCCTGACTGGGAGAAGCTGGCCGGCTAAGGGGGAGAGTGTCAGATGGGGCTGCTGTGAGGAATGAGGCTGCCAAAAGGCCAATGGGGGTGGGGGGTCCGCCGGCCCACACTTAGGACCAAATTTTATGTGGGAGTCAAGTTCCGCAGGAACCTCTGCTTAGTTCCTGTGATAAGGAACTTATTCCAGCAAGTGGGGATGTGCAAGGATGCGCACAGGAACACACCGAATGGACTTCATACCTGAGGTACCACGGGACAAGTGAAATCATCCTATAACCCCATGTAGAGAACACAGTCAGTAAACCATTGTGTCCTTACAGTGGACTATTACACAGGAATTCAACCTTATGCTGAAGAATAATTGGGGGGGAAGTTCCCAATGTTAAGTGAAGAGCAGGTTTCAAAAATATGTGGCTCAGTGGTTGAGTGTGGACCTAGGAACCAGGAAGTTGGGGTTCGATTCCCGGTCAGGGCATGTGACCAGTTTCTCAGTGGTTACAGCATCGGCCTGAGCACGGAAGGGTCATGAGTTTGATTCCCTATCCAGGGCACATACCTGGGTTGCAGGCTCAATTTCCGGTCCCTGTTAGTCGGTGCAACCAATCGATGTGTCTTACATCGATGTTTCTCTCTCTCCCTCCCCCCCTTGCACTCTCTCCACAAATCAATGGGGAAAATATCCCCGGGAGAGGATTCCCAAAGAATGAAAACAAAAGTTGTGATAAAATAGGTAAATCAAAGACAGGCTCCATGCACTCAAAGACACTATTTTATTTCATCAAAGTCAGGCAGGATGATCTGTTGAGAGGTAAGTGGTCAGCATCGAGCATGAATCCGCACACATTTCCACAGTGAACTGCAGGCGATGGCCTGGCTGAAGTCGCGAGATTCAGGGGATTCCACGGCTGAGCTTCCCAGAGCGTCCGGGACAGCCCCCACCCGCGCAGAGGGCAGACGTTAGCACCAGACTGTTATGATCTGCACGGATGTCACTATATACAAAGGTATGTACACGGACGCCTGGATCTTTGGGTCCCGCCAAGCAGACACTGAGGAGGCAGGCGGGGACTGGACAGGACGGTGTGGGCACAGGGGCTTCGCTAAAAGGGGAATTGCACTACATATTCCCACAGAGAAGGAAGTCCTCAAAGACATCAAAAGGCCGGCACAGACACAACACTTTCTAGATTCACATTTACATACATAGCATCACAACGGCCACAACACTGTATCGGAGGGGCAAGCATCACAGGTAAAAGCTTTGTCTAAATTAAAAAGCAAACACACGGAATGGCTGTGGTCCCCCCGAGGGAGGACCACGGGGGTCCGCGAGCAGCCAGCTGGACCTCCTCCGACGTGACTTTTCACCGCAAGTGCTAGGATTCCCACGTCACAGCTTAACTAACAGCAGTGAACACGCCTGGAAAGTGGCCAAAAAGAGCGGTGACGCCTGCGCGCCTGAAGCTGGCCCGTGCGGACCCTTCACCGCGGCCCGGGAGCCTGGCTAGCCGCCTCCGGCTCAGGAAGCATGGACCGTGGTCCTAAGACACTGGTGGGTGTGTGGTTTGGTTAGGTGGCAGTCACTGCTGACAGAGAGGTCTCCCCACCCGCTGGAAAACTTCTATTATAGGGAATAAGGGGAAACGGGATTCAAATAACCCCTCCATCCAACAAGTGCCCACGCTACCCTGACATGAACTCATCCAAGGGGTTCCCCACCAGTAAGCACGCGCTGCATCAGCTGAGCATCTGAGAAGAAACATTCTGGCTCCACAGTGATTTAGGTAAAAATAAGTTACCACCCAGCCATTGGCGGTTGACCATCTTTCTCCTACGCTTACTTGCCACGCATATGTCCTCTTTGGTGAAATCTTTTGCCCCCCCAGCTGGGCTGTTGGTTTTCTTGCGGTTGCATTGTACAGAGTTCTTTATATATTCTGGAGATGATTCCTTTGTCACATATGTGATTTGCAAACCATTTCTCCCAGCCTGACTTGTCAACTGCAAATTGACACCGTGACAGTGTTTGTTTTTTAAGTGAATAGACTCTTCAGAATCTTGCAATGTCAACCAATAAAAAGGGCCCGGGATCCGTCAACTCTGTGGCAAAGTTGCAGAAGGACCCCCGGAAGTCCGGAGGCGGGCTCTTAGGAAACGGAATGGGCCTTCAGGGCATGCTGACAGGTTGAAAGAGGCAAAAAGAGAAAAGTGGCCAATTACCGTTAATGACCATATGCGCACGACACAAATGCTCTGGGGAGAAAGTAATTTAGGAACCATCCACTGGTCTCGAGAAACACCTAGCAAGCACAGGACTACCGCACGCACCTTTTACCAGGCGTTTCACGTTGCGGGAACACGCCTGACCCGCGCCGCCGGGTGGGACGGACTGAAGCTGTCCGCTCGGTGCGCGGCTTTGAAGGCATGCACACGACTCAAGCGGCGCTTTTAGAATGAGCGACCCAACACACAGGCTATGCATTTCACAGTTGGTTTCTAGGAAACGGAATGGGCCTTCAGGGCATGCTGACAGGTTGAAAGAGGCAAAAAGAGAAAAGTGGCCAATTACCGTTAATGACCATATGCGCACGACACAAATGCTCTGGGGAGAAAGTAATTTAGGAACCATCCACTGGTCTCGAGAAACACCTAGCAAGCACAGGACTACCACACACACCTTTTACCAGGCATTTCACCTTGCAGGAACTCGCCTGACCAGCGCCGCAGGGTGGGATGGACTGAAGCTGTCCACTTGGTGCATGGGTTTGAAGGCATGCACACGACTCCAGTGGCACTTTTAGAATGAGCGACCTAACACACAGGCTATGCATTTCACAGTTGGTTTCTAACCACTTGGAAACTACTATGTTAATAAATTATCACCGCCATCATCATCACAGGTCTGTGCTGGGTCAGAGAGCACATTATATGAAAGACAGTGAACGCTAACAGCATGGGACGGACACGCATAAAACGTGGCAGGCCACACCCCTCGTGGATCACAAGAGAAGACGTGCGCCAGGTGGCCCCTCCTGTGCACTCTGGGGACTCGCTGAGCGCTGCCCAAGCGGCTGGTTTGGCAGCGGAAGACACAGGAAGCCAGAGCGACCGCCGCCAAGGGGCCCTTGCGTGCAGCACGGGACAGAGCCTGCGGTCTCCGTGGCAGAAGCTCGCCAGCCACCAGGGCCCGTGCCCCGTGGGGCTCCTTGTAAAGGACAACACCCCACGGGGAGCCACTCTGCTCAGCATCCACAGGGAAACTAGACGCCCAATGCATCACCCCAGACAAACACGAGTTATCGCTTTTCTAACAGCCACATCGCTACAAGAGGGTTCTCACTACGGGACATCCATCCAGGCTGGGGTCCACTGCCCGGGGCGGTGCGCAGGCCGGCTCCGCCCCCAGGAGGCCGCTCATTTGCTCCTCTCGGGCTGCAGGCTGTCCACCAGGCACTTGAGCTGCTCCTCGCCCAGGTGGATCTTGTCCTCCAGCTCCCGCTGCTCGATGATGAGGGCCGACTTCATCTTGACGAAGTACTCGTAGTCGGCCAGGCTCTCGTCGCTCAGGTAGCTGGCCAGGATGTCGAACACCACGCGCTCCCGGCGGTCCAGGTTCTCCTTGAGCTCCTTGGCGTCCTCGTGCTGCTGAACGAGGACCCGCTGCTTCTCAAGCAGTGATTGCTGTGGAGAGAGAGACAGAATTCTGGGATACTCAAAAGGTACCAAGGCCCAGTCAGCATGGCTTAGTGGTTGAGCATTGACCCCATGAACCAGGAGGTCACGGTTAGATTCCCAGTCAGGGCACATGCCCGGGTTGTGGGCGCGGAAGCGATGCAGCCCTGATAGGACAGCACTGAGTCCTGAGAGTGTGGGCGCAAGCACTCGTGGCTGTGGCACCCCCCACCCCCGTCGGTGCGAGGGCATCTCCCACCTCCAGTGCCACGCATGGGCCTGGACTGCTAACAGAGGCAGCCAAGGTGACCCCAGCGTGACCAAGGGACTGAAAGCGACAGAATGCCGGGATGCTCTAAAGGTGCCAAGGCCCAGCCATCATGGCTTAGTGGTTGAGCGTTGACCCCATGAACCAGGAGCTCACGGTTTGATTCCCGGTCAGGGCACATGCCCGGGTTGCAGGCTCGATCCCCAGTGTGGGGCATGCGGGGTGAGGCTGCACTTTGCACAAACGCCGACACACAGAAGAGCTCAGAGATGAGGAACTGAGCTTAACGCAGCTGCAAACAGCCTGCTCCTAGTGTGCGGCTTGGGGAAGCGCCCACCCCGTGCCAGTGCACCTCACCCACCTCGCTGGGGCACCATGGCCCCAGGCGCTTGCCAAACAAAGCCACCATGCACTCAGGTGGAAAGAGGCGAGGCAAAGCCAGTGGGTTCCAAACCGAAAGGGAAGCAGATCATAACCGATTCTATAAATTCGGTTCAGGCTCAAAGCAGTCGGGCTCAAAGCTGCTGAGATGGGGGCAGGACCCCCGTCTCTGTTCGAGTGCTCATTTTCTACGTGGAAACATGAAGGCGCCTTCTACAACCTGGCGCCACGCCTTTTACCGCATCAGCGTGTCTGCCTCTGAAAGCCTGGGCTTCCCCATGCCTGACAAGAGGTTCTCACCCACCACCGGCTACGCTGAGACCTGGCCACTGAGCGGCGTCGGATGAGGGGAGGGGAGCCCTAGCCGGTGTGGCTCACTGGATAGAGCGTCGGCCTGCAGACCAAAGAGTCCGGGTTCAATTCCAGTCAAGGGCACGTACCTCGGTTGCAGGCTCCTCCCCGGCCCGGGCCCTGGTCAGGGCTCGTCCAGGAGGCAACCAATCGATGTGTTTCTCTCACATCAATGTTTCTCTCTGTCTTTCCCTCTCTCTTCCACTCTCCCTAAAAATCAATGGAAAAATATCCTCGGGTGAGGGTTTTAAAAGAATAAATAAATTTAAAAAGAAAAAAAAGAATGAGGAGGGGGAGCTGCCTCAGTCATGCACAGCTGAGGGGTAACGGCCCACCCGCTCCGCACCTCTCTAAGGCGCCTCGGGATGCTGGGCGCGGTGCAGCCTGGTCCCCAGGAGGGCCACGCCATTCCTCCGTTACACGAGGAGAGCGCCCTCCGCACTCAATAGCATCTTGCAGCATGAGGTGGACAGGCGCTGTGTGAGCCTTCGAGGCATTCACTCAACTCCCCAAGGAGCACCTCCTCTCAGGTCCTCCCCCAGCCCCCAGCCCCCAGATTTCCAGGTCGCATGCGTCCTACATACCCGATCGCCAGGAGAAGCGCTGTCGTCCAAGTTGTTGAGGGCATTTTCCACGCGGGCCAGACGCCCCGACAGGGACAGCAGGAGGTTCACCACCTTGTCCAGGTCCCCGATGAACATGCGGAACTTGTCGAACTCGTTCGGCTTGCACACGTCCTTGACGATGGCCTCCACCTCGTCCCCAAGGGCGCTGTTGGCCTGGATGTCCTCCAGCAGGCTCTCCCGCGCGCCCCGCAGCACCTGCAGCTTGCGGCCGATGCTGTCGATGAGC